GAAAAGGCAACTGGAAGGTCAGTTAGACCACGTGATGTCTGACTCACAAACACTGCAGTAGACGACAAGTTTTCCCACATCTTTAACCCACACCCAGCATGCGGCTGACTTGCTCTAAAGCATATTTTTTGTCAGGGACTACCTCGGACGGATTCAAATAACTGTCACGCAAGTCACGGCTGATCTTCAGATGGGAGAAAAACGCAACATGTGGCAGACTGAGGAGAGCTCCAGACTCCTCTGCATTTAATGAAATTACAGAATGTGGTTTATGATTCATCCTGTTGTAGAACTTGAGCAATTTGTTGTACATCTCTGTAAAGTTTGAAGACATCGCAACGGCTGTCTTTGCCTGGATCTGCATCATATTTTTCCTCAATATTAAAGGTTTGAGGGATGAAATTCAAGGACCAAGGACCTCAGAATCGATGGTCTCACAGGTATTTTCTGCTCTGCTGAATTTTTCCTCCGTTTCTAAGAGTTTTGCAAGGACAAATCTCTGGCGACTAAAGGAAATCAAAGAGGGCCCCGAGGATATGGCCTGAACTGAGTGCTTTTTGCTTTAATAGTCAACGTACGTAGCTGATCATCTGTTCTAAACACAAAAAGAGGCAGAAACCGAGCTGCAACAGCAGAGTGTTTAGCAGTAAAGCCGCCCGTGCAGCCAGCCTGTTGTGTTGGCTGCCATAACACCTCAGCAAGACATGAGCATCGGCTGGGTTTGAGATGGAGCCAGCATCCCGCACCTTTCATCTCCCACTGGGGTGTCACTCCATCTTATTCCGTTAAATCGGTGTAAAATATGCTGCCTCTCAGTGGCCATCAGGGGAGGGCAGGGCAGATAAGTAAATGAGAGGATCACAGGGGTCACTTTCTTTGCGAGGTGCACAAAAAGGATGATGCAATGTGACAGCTCTGGTGAGCGGATTCCTGCACGTAGTCAGGGCTGATAGACGGAGAAATAACGGGCTCATTAGTTCACGTCAGCTTTCAGACTGCTCTGCTACCGTGATGCAGGAATGTCAGTCACCAGCATGGTGGGCGGTGAGACTGCTGATCCTACTGCTGCTTCACGTAAGCTGCGGAAAGTCAGGAGAAAACTGGAGCTCGGAGGGAATCTGTTTTGTTGAGAAGCATTGGGGCTGGGGGTATTTTGTTCCCCCCCTCTTGCAGTCTGGTCCTAAAACACAGGTGCAGCCTTTTTGCGGCCCTCTTTGCCTCTGAGCGCAGCTCCCCCTCCTCCTCCTAGCAGCAAAGTGTTTGTCCATCTGATCCTCCATTAAATCCTGATTACTATGGATTGGTCTTCCTCAGACCTGTGATCTGGGAGGAAGGGGATGGCCGGGGATGCCTCTGACTGAAGGAGTTTGTTGGTAATCAATCAGTGTGGCGAATTAAGACCGCAGCTCGGTTTTAAACTCTGAGAAGCGGTAGAAAATTTTGCTCTAGCCCATGACGGAAGGGGAGTTTTTGGTGCAGGGTGGGTAATTGGGCTGCTTCTCACCAAACTCCAGCAAACTGGCATTTGACATGACTGCAAGCAGTGCTGACACTGTGTGGATTTTGGTGTCAGCTGATTTAGTGCAGGAGAATATTCAACTGGATTCTGTGTCGTTTTTCAGTGCAGCTGCGTCCCAATCTGCAAAGCCACTTCTCTCCAACAGTGTCTGGGAGCACGTCTAGATGAACGGGGCGGGAGGGAGGGGAGTGAGGGGGGGGGGGTCTAATATTTGGGGCTTCCATGCGGCGTCATGCAGAGCCGATCATTGTCTCCCTCACACTTTGTAACTAGCCATTTCACAACCTCCAGACAGCGGCTCGGGCTGCGCGCAGCAGCAGATCAGCAGCTTTGGCCTCGGGGCTCCTTTTCCCTCCCCGCCGTCAGCCACAGCGAACAGTTTGGGTTCGGAACGCGGATGAGACCAATTACAGGACTTAACCCACCACGATGCCTCCTTTGCGATCGGCCGATAGCGAGGCGAGTTAGGCGATGGCTGCTGGGATCCGCGGGGAGCCGGGAGTGAACCTGTGAGGAGAAGGGACGCTTTGACGGGCTGGTCGCGGGGCATCATGCACGGGCTGGAGGATTTTACGCGCAGAGAGCCGCTGAGTGCGTTTGATTTGGGATTACTGTGACAGACTTTTCCAGTGGCGGGGGAGGCGGGGGGAGATTTTTGGAGGAGTCTGCCTCCTCTCGCTGTTGTTCGCTGTCCTCCGGGTTTTCCTGCAGGACTTCCAGAGTCGCGGAGAGCCCATGCGGCCGCCAAGGTTGGTGTGTGTGGCTGGTGTGAGACTGGCTCGGAGTGCGTGCCTTAGTGTCGGAAGTTTCTTTCACTTTTGTGTCCTGAATGTTCCTGTTTTTTCCAATCGGGATTTCGGCAACCTTAACGACCCGAGCCGTTCCGTGTTTGACCGAAGCCCCCGTCCTGCTCCGTGCTGGTTCTGTAGGATCTGTCACACTACCTGTGTGTCACAGAGACGCGGCACGCGTCGCGGGGAGGACGGCTCTGGCCGGACGGGGGCTGCCCGGTGCGCTGGGCTTTTCCACCTTTGAAAGCCTCCCTGCCTGCCTGACAGCCCCAATTAGAGCAATAACCGAGCTGTTCGTAAAGCTCGGATTTAATGACAGGTTTGCTTGTCCTCATAAAGCCATGTGCGTTTGTGTCATGGTTTTGAGGCTTCGTGTCGGAGCTCTTAACAAGCGCCATCTGTTGGAAAAGAGGGCCTGTCGAGGCAGATCTACGGAATAAAAAAAGACCCTTTTAACACCGCTTAAAACAGACGCACGGTAGATTAGTTACACTTTAATTCAGAGAGAATCCCAATATGTCAGCTCTGCATGCTGCTTTTCTATCGTCAACATGCACAAACAGGTCATGTCAGGGATTTACAGCAGCCTTTCGTGAAAGGGTGATTTTATAATGCCAAATGAATTCATGGACGTGGTTAATTATGATGCCATTTAGAGAAAACGCAGTTCACAGTTCGCCTCATGTTTCTAAATAATGCTCATTTTAAAATGGGAGATAATAACAATGGGCTCAAAGCCCTGATAAGAAGATGATATCAGCTTAAATCAACCAAACACTGTGCATAAGAGTATGTCTTATGTGAACACATCAGAATGACAGGTCCAGACAGGATTCCAGCAGAATGACAGGAGGAGGTCTGCATGTCTGCACTGTTGTCTGCTGATGGAGCCTCCCACCACCAGGCTTCATCACAATATCTACGCTGATTTAGCTCATCTGGGGAAAAAACAGCACCAAAACCGTTTAAGAGGCTATTCGACCCCCACAAGCAACATGCAGGGATTCATTTTCCAGTGTCAATGTCAGAATAGGTTTTTTTATTTTATGTTAAACTATCCAGTTGAGCTGATTGGACAAATGGCACAGTCCTGACTCCGGGTAGAAATGTTCTGATTACGCAAGTGGCGGCTAACTGTGCAGAGGAGTGGGGTGCATATAGCTTGTTGAAGGTAAATGACGGACGCAGGTGAAAATGTTTGCTTTACGAGCCACGCTCACCGCCCACTCCTTAAATCTGATGAGCAGATGCAATTGCTCTGAGGTCTTTCCAGGCTGCCGTGGGTTTCAACGCTTGATGTAGATGCATACATCAAAGCATTCGGGGTGTTAAAGGACAATTTAATTTCTTAGTATGCCGCAGCCGCAGCATCTCTGCCACAGTCCAAAAATATTCCACAATTCATAAAAACATTTCAGCGAGCAGCTTAGACCTTTCAGCCACGCTCATTCGTTTCAGATGTGAAAGCTTGGCATATTACTGTTGGAAGTAAGTCTGCACAGGGCCACCCTTGTTGAAAACATGTGTAGGCTCAGACCTCATTGTACATGAACATATCCATCACCCAAGAGAGGGACAGCAGCCACAAAGACATTCACCACTCTGTGGAAAATTACTGTACTTCTTGCCACAAGCCGAGTACGCAGCCATACGTCAGGTAGTATTTAGGGTTAAACGGCAATGAAAGGCACCAGTAATGTGCATTTGGGAAACTGAATGAAAATCAGAGGAGGGAAAGTTGTGTTTTTAGTGTGTAAGGGAACATAAGCTGCCTTAGTAATTTCAGTACATTAGAAAATCAAAGCCATAAACCTATAAACCATGTCCATGCTACGTGTAAAAACTGCAAAGTAAACAAATATCAGGACACATCCTGTCAATCAAAATGAAATCTGTTGGTTCTTCTCACCGGTCACTGGGTTTGAGTTTGCTCACTTCATAAAACTGATTAAAACTGCAGCATGTTATTAAACGGAATAGATGTTTGATTAAAAACAGGGTACATGCTCACAGTTCACATCAAGCGTATCACTTGTGTAGCCTACACCTTAAAGAAAACTCTCCTATAATACTAATGAAGGCCATGCAGAAAGATAAGCTCTCTGACAACAAATGCTGCCTGTTTTGCAGTTATTTGGAGTTTCAAGTTATCATCTAAGGGAGTGTTGCTTTGCATAGATGTGAGCTGTGACTAAAAATATAGCTACGGCCCTGATAGCCTGAATTTTGCATGGCAAAAGCAAAACCTTTTTGCATATTTCATTTTTCTAAATTGCTATGATACTCTTCTCTATCTTACTAATAAAAACAGTCCTGTTTTGGCAGGGTTTTGCAGACGTGGTCCACATCACAAACTTACCAGAGAGGTCAGCTTGGTATATAACCACTATTTTTAGCCCAGTTGTACACATCCAGTCAATTAATAGTGACACCAACAGAATGTTTGTTTCTATTTTTGTTGTTTTCCTCCTCTATCCTCTGTGTTTGCTCACACTTGTTCTGTGGAATGTGGTTGCTTTTTGACTTAAGCTTTTTCACAATGGGCTTATTGTGTTTTTGGCATCAAAACAAGCTTTTTCTTACACATGGTGTATTGGACGACCACTTTGTGGGTCGTTAAAAGTCGAACAAGTCTGCACATTGAGGTGTAATATGAGACTTCCAGAGAGAGAGAGTGGTGGTGGAGAGGGGGGGGTTGAGGGCAACACGGGCGGCCGTGATTGGATGAGTGTCCGCCGGCCCGCGGAGGCTGCACCTCCCCGGCACTCCCTCCGCTGCGTGCCGCGCTCACAGCCGCCCGTGCTGCCCTCAGTACCGCCTGGGAAACGCTGCCGAGTCCGCAGCGACGACTTGGGCACCGAAGACAGCCACAGAAACGGGGTCTTACCCTGGGAGTGATGCGAAGACGTGGGGCTCGGCTCCGGAACTTTTTCGCGGGCTGTTCTCTGTGTGTCCTGAGCCAGGGCTGTCGGAGGCTCCGGCTAACTCTTCCCCCGCTGTTTTTCCCTCATCCAATGTGAGCAGGGAGAGGAGAGAAGTGCGACCCCGAGCTGGATGGATGGTTATGGGGACAAGAGGGAGACCCTCGGCGCTTGAAGTTATCCGAGTCCTCGCCGTGTTTTTGTCACTCTTCCCCTCCGGTAAGCCCAAACGGCACCTCTGTGAATAACTTTTGCATATTACTCCACAGCAGACCCAGCCGGGTAACGCCACCGGCCACAGGTGAAGCCGTTCTCGCCGCTTAGCGTTAGCTAAAGTTAGAACTAGTCCTCGGCGCTGATAAATGGCTGCTGCCCGGTGACTGTGGCCACCAAAGGTCGCCAGCTCGACTGCTCGTTTGTTCGGAATTATTTCGGTAGTCTTAAAAAGCCATCTCCTCAGCTTTTCGTCTAGAGGTTTTTTGTGTATTTACTTATTTGGTGGAAGGGGCTGCAGAGGGGTTCACACACGGGGAACGTGCGGCTACGCGGCGGAGCGATCTGAGATAAAAATCTACCAGGTTCCAGCGATTATGGTGATTAGGAGCTGAAATCACCCGCAGGTGTTTCCACCGAAAGTTTTGGGGATTATTAGTTTCATATTAGTCTCCAATCTCTGCCTGCGACCGCGACTCTTGTGTTACATCGCAAGTTTGACTTGTTGTTTTAGTTTAGTCTAGATATTACTTTTTTTGAAAAAGGTCTTCTTGTCGTAGCCTTCCATCCATGTTTTTTTAGGGGGATGGGGCGTCTTCAAGATCTCATTTGTTCAAGCACAGTCTTTATTTATTTAGCTTTTTCCAAGGTTTGCCTCAGTTTACTGCTTTAGTATTAGACTTTTATTGATCTCATATGTTTGTGTTGCCACAGGAAGAAGGCAGCTGTGGTGTTTTGAATGGGGACCAGATTACTTTCAACTTAAGTTACTTTTTAATTTGATCTAGTTTTTTTTTACTTTAGGATTGGATTACTGCCTAAAACTAAACATAGTTGGGCATAGTTTTGGGTTACTTTAAATAGAGCACAGAGCATTTAGCACCTTCTTACTAAATATGAACACACATGGAATGTTAGCTTTGATGTTATTTTTGTTCTGTTTATTAGATAAAATGTATGTTTCCCACTCGGCTTTTACAGTTGATGTATTCATATAACCCTTCAGAAAAATAACAGATGGAGCAAACTGGTGCCCTGTGCTTTTGTTTAAGTTTTTGTTCTTACTAGTTCTCTAAGACGCAAATCCCCTACTCTGTTTTCATCAAAAGGAGTCGAAATGGTCTTTTCATCACGTCATCATTTTATCACTGAAGACAAAAGTAAATACACAGTAGGTTGCTGTTAACAAAACTGATGGCCATAGAGGGAAAAGTTCTGTTTCAATGCAGTGCAGCACATTTAAATTCAGAATAAACAGAATAAAACATGCATTGAGAATGTAATCAAACCGTTGCGACAGTGTAACTTTATGTGCATTTCATGTTTTTTTTCCCCCCTCTAAATCTGTGTCGCCTACAGTCACCTCTTTCATAACCAGTTGACACCGTCTCAATTGTATGCATTGCGTTACCTCCCAGGTCTGGTGGGAACGCCTCGGTCGGCTCATTTTACACATTTGCCAGCCCCTTATCAGTTTCCCTCTTAAATCACACGCCGCCAAACAACTACAGTGATAATGCGCTGATAGTTGAGATCAGATTAGTTTACTGCCATCAGTTAAATGCTGAAAGGGGTTGCAGAGAGCACACACACACACACACACACACAGAGGAGACGGTTGGTGGCACAACCTATGCAAATAAATGCTTTATTAGACTGAAGTGATAGCAGTCAAACGTGGTGTCGGAAGAGGCCTCACAGCCTGAGATACTTTTGCTCTGGTTCAGTTGGGCGGTGTGTGAAAGCTGGAGGTTTACACACCGCTGGTGTTAATTATCACTAAGAGAGTAGATAAGGATCTTTTATTGCCTTTTTCTTTGAACAGGAGTCTCAGGGTGTGAAAGCGTACCTGGGGCTTGGATCTGCTGTTTGCTGCCTTCACCTGGTGTGAAACGATTTCATCATTTTCGCCGTGCGGCGCTGCTTTTCATGTCTTGCATTGGTGCATTTGGATGAGTCGGACAAAGGCTGTCGGCGCTTAGTTTCTTATTGCTCTTTGTCGTCGACACAGTTATTGCGCAAGAAAAAAAAAAACAGAGCGCCGTTGGCAATTCGGGCTTTCGGAGAAACTGTAACGGCGTTTTCAGCCAGTTGGGGAAACATCGTTAATCTTCAGGCCTGGTTTTTATCTGTTGGCTTTTCAGCCTCTTGCTTGAGCTGTCTTACCTTTTGCTGACATTATCTCTGGTTGCCCGCTGACAGCGAGTCTGCAGTGCAAGATCCTCAAGTGCAACGCGGAGTTTTGGGCCTCCACCTCGAGCCCTGGACCGGAGGAGGAGTACTGCGCGGCGGTGCGGGCGTACACCAGCTGCGTGCGCCGGACGGCCCGCACCTGCAGGGGTGACCTGACCTACCACTCGGCCCAGCATGGCATCGAGGACCTGATGAACCAGCACAACTGCTCCAAAGAGGGCCCCACGTCCCAGCCGCGGCCCCGGACCCCGCTCCCCCCGCCGCCCCCGGTGCTGACCGACAGCCAGGAGCGCTCGGACGGGCCCGAGGTGTGCCACTACGAGCGCAGCCTCCCGCGCCACACGGCGCCGCCCAACTACACCCACTGCGGCTTCTTCGGGGACCCGCACCTGCGGACCTTCGGCGACGACTTCCAGACGTGCAAGGTGGAGGGGGCCTGGCCGCTCATCCACAACAAGTACCTGTCCGTGCAGGTGACCAACTCGCCCGTGGTGCCGGGCTCTTTGGCCACCGCCACCAGCAAGGTGAGGATCGCCTTAGGCCTAAGAGCGCCAATCTGCTTTTTATGTTGTGTTTTTTTTTTTTTTTTAAAGAGGCCGTTGGGGCATACCAGACCTGTCGTCTGAAATCCAAAAGCCCGTTTATCTTCAAAATAGGCAGCAAATTCTCCCACATTACTAACTCAAACCGGGGTCTCTCGGGCATTTCTGCTTTCATGAAAGCACTTGAATAACGACTTATTATTTATTAACTGTTGACTAATGGATCAGGCCCTTTGACCCCTCTGGTATGCAATCAACATGGAATTATCCAACACAATTATTGATAGTTGTGGGGGCCAACAATGCCAAATGTGAGGCGAAATCAGAAGCAGCTGCTATGGTTTGCTGCTATATATCTTAGCGGGTGAGTTTTCGGGTTGAGCTGTTAACAAAGGAAAGCCTGCAGCTCCCATGCGGCTGATCTGAGCGTGCCTGCGTGATCAGAATAGAAATCCGTCTTCCGTGTTCTTGCTTGCGCGAGTTCTCTCTTTCATGTGGTCAGAGCTGCAGAGGGGCTGCTTTTCTGTCAAACCGGGGATCCTGGTTTATGTTTGGAGGAGAACAGGCGGAGAAGAGCAGCCCTGTGCGAACGCAGAGATCCCGATAAGCCGTGTGGATGACATGTCGCAGCAGGGCCGCGGCAGACGGGAACGCCGGGCTCCTAACCGAGCACTCAGAGGAGTTTCTGTGCTTAGAACGGCGGAGGCCTTCTCCTCATTATGAGATATTTTCTTTCATATCTTTATCAGCAGAACACACATGATTAGAGCTGTTTTGTTTAATGGTGTTGTGGTTATTTGGGCGGCTGCCCCTCACATGTCTTTCTGTGAAAGCTGAGGTCAGGAGATAAAGCTGGCCCAGATTTGGCAAAGTTTCATGACTTAAGTACTCAGAACAAGTTATAAGAGGACTTTGTCCTTAATCACATTGGTAGAAAACAGCAATTTTCTGTAATCGAGGTTCCTTAATGAAAGCCTTATTAAGCATTTGTGGGTTTTCAGCCTTTAAAGTAATGGCTTTTTTAAAAATGTTGCTATTCTTGGAAGCAAATGAGACAGTTTTTGGGCTCCCCGTTCTGGACAAAGGGAAAACAAAGCGGCGGCCTGTGCCACCTGTGCAAACACAGCCCTCCTGGTAAAAGGTCTGCTTTCGGCGAGCGCGTCCGCCGCAAATAAAACTGTCTTCATCCTAATGGAGCGAGAACAGAGGCCTGTGCCTCTTATTGGCTCTTATCTAATGTCTCAGAAACGAGCCAGGGAGGGAGGACGTGTGTTGAGATGGGTAACGGGAAGGGAGACGGAGCTGGCGCAACACATGAATTGTCAAGTTAATAGAGTGCTCTGTGGGCCCCCCCCCACACACACACACACACACTTCCTGTCCTCCGTCTTAAAACAAGCAGACACCAGAGGCCCCTGGCTGTCCTCCTGGTGCTGCTCTGACAATGGCTCATTGGTGTCCCGTGAAACCGAGCTCGGAGAGTCCTGACCAGTCTCCCTTAATTAGCCCCAGAGTGGACGGCCGTGTCCTGGCCTGCCGCCACCCCCCGGAGCAGAGTCCTGCCGGGTTCACAGGCAGGTTTTTCAGCGCTATGAATGGATCGTCTTTGTGTCTGCGAAACTGAGGCCTGATTTTACACGGCCGGGACTCGTGTTTTTTCGAGGGCGTTTACCTTGGCCTTCCCCCCGTGTTGAGCCAGCCCTGAAACGTGACCCCCCCCCCCCCTTTCTAGGAGGGCAGAGGGGCACACGTCAGACGCCTCCCCGTTTCAGGCGGTGTGTTTCCAGATGACGCCTAACCGCTGTGTTCTGTCTGTCCTTCCACAGCTGACAATCATCTTTAAGAACTTCCAGGAGTGCGTGGACCAGAAGATGTACCACGCCGAGACGGACGAGCTGCCGGCGGCCTTCGCCGACGGCTCCAAGAACGGCGGCGAGCGCTACGGCGCCAACGCGCTGCGGGTGGTGGAGAAGGTCCCCGGGCAGCACGTGGAGATCCAGGCCAAGTACATCGGCACCACCATCGTGGTGCGGCAGGTGGGCCGCTACCTGACCTTCGCCGTGCGGATGCCGGAGGAGGTGGTGAACTCGGTGGAGGAGGGAGACGACCAGGACCTGTACCTGTGTCTGCACGGCTGCCCCGCCAACCAGCGCATCGACTTCCGGAACGTGCGGGGCGGCGCGGCCGAGGCCCACGGCGCCGGCCGGCCCCGGGGCGGCGCCGCGGCGGCGCACGCCTTCACCTACCAGTCGGCCAAGGCCAAGTGCAAGGAGCGGCTGCCCGTGGAGGACCTGTACTTCCAGTCCTGCGTCTTCGACCTGCTCTCCTCCGGGGACATAAACTTCACCATGGCGGCCTACTACGCCTTCGAGGACGTAAAGATGCTGCACTCCAACAGCAAGAGATACCACCTGTTTGAGAGCGACGCCCTGAGCAGCGGCGCCCGGCGGGGCGGGGGCCTGCTGGCCGCCGCGCTGGCGGCCTCCCTGTGGATGGGGCGCTGCGCGGCGCTGTAGTGTGTTTACAGTGAGTGTTAGTCCCGTCGCTATGCTCCGCCCCCCCCGCCCCTCCCCCGCCGCCCCGTCTCAGCCACAGTGTCCCGACGCCGGCCTCATGACAAAACAAGTTTACCACTCCCACCCGTCATCACCTGTGTTTCACCGCTTCGTCAGAGTGGGCTTTGAAGGGAGCGGTGAGAGAGCCTAGCTGCCCCCCCCGAGCTCAGGGCATCCACCTGGGATTAAATCCCACATTCTCACCAGGCTGCGTGCCTGTGGGAAGCCGGACAAGATGATCTTTTGCAGAAAGAGGGGTCCGCTGATCCTCCCTCTCCTGATCCGCACGCTGGTGCCAAGCCAACGAAGCTCTCTGTGGCTCATGTGGCAAAGCGGGGAGGACCTGACAGGGGCTTTTGTTAACCTTAGGCCAGAAGCAGCTCCATGTTTGATTAGTTTCCAGCTTTGGAAAAGCCTGAGCCTTTTTTGGAGGACGCACCCAGCCAAAAGGATGTCAGAGCAGCGTCTCCAGTTGTCTGCTGTGGAGATTAATGGGTCATATTGTTAGGTTGTGTGTGTGTGTGTGTGTGTGTGTCTGTGTATGCATTAGTACAATATGTGTGCAGAATCCAGCATCTGTGGTTAATTTTGTGTGTTTGTGGGTGCAGGAGTTTCCAGAAATGAGATTTAAGGGGGGGAAAAAAGAGAAAAAAAAAGAGAACCTCCAGTGGGAGGAATCGTTGCCATGTCTTTGTGTTGCACCCAAAATTTTCAGAAATACAGATGACGAAGCGTTTCAGTCTGTCGGAGCGGCCGCCATCAGCCACACTGCAGATTCCTGCCGGGGGGGGGGCTCAGAAACCCGGACCGCTGTCGGCCGCTGGCCCCTGCCTCCGTGGTTTGAGCCCAACCGTCCGCCGCTGTCCGCGTGTCCAGTCGGTCGTGCGAATGTAGAGAACAAAGGGACAAACTTTGATGGCCCTCCGAGCGTTTTCCAGAATGTAGATCAACCAATCAGAGCGCGTGGGTCTCAGCGTGAGGGAAAGACACGCACACGTCTGCAGGCGTGACCCCCCGGCTCAGCCCGCCGCCAAAGAACGCCAACATTCGCCCGACAGCTGAATTTCATCCCGTAGACGACCGCCGTTAAAGGCCACCCTCCTCTGTATATACAGCTCGTGTTAGTAGGCGCTCCCCCTCCCCGCCTCCCTTTTTCTGTTTTCAGTAAGCTGATGATGTACAGTAACTCGTACTGTAAAAAAGAAAAAGGAAAAAAAAAAATCGAGCCGGCCTTTGTTGCCCGGGCTCTGCTTCTCCCGTCTTTCCCGCTAACACATGCTCCCTTCTGCCGGGGCCCTGAACCTTCG